GATCTTCTAACAGATTTTAATGCAGATTATCTTACTATTCAATAAGATCATCTTGACATCCGACAAACTTTGTGCAATCTATCAAACAAAGTTATTAAAAGTGGAAAAAAGATTGATAAATTAAATGATAATAAAGAAAAAATTGACAAAATGTTTAGAATTTTTTGTAAGTTGCAGTCAGGAGTACCCTCATTTAGAAAAAGATGAATACAGTCAAAAGGTTAGTCACATCCCATTTCGGGAGATTAATACATCCACCTCAAGTGGAGATTCGAAATTTAAGAAAAATGCACCTCTTACCTCGCAAGAGGAAAATGTCATAACAAAGGGTCCACAACAATTAACCGTCAGTATTGAAAAATTGTTGGAAAAATCTACAAGTGGAAAAGGAGTCGATGAGTCCAGTACTCAAACATCCTTATCAAAAGACTCATTGGAACAACCTACTGTTATCAGTGAATTCCAAGAAACTAAAAAGCACCGATTGGTGACCTTAAATCACCAAATGGAATAGTTACTACTCATCAAATCAGAACTAATCTACATCCTATAGAGAATGAGTATTATGAATTTTCAAAATGGGTATATAATTTTAGAGAAGGAAATTCTCTATACTTGACAGCCCTTCCAACGGCGATTTATCCAAGGATCAATGCAATTCAAGGAGCAGATCTCAATATTGTTCGAAAATTGGCATCATTTGGATTTTTAGATCGACTCTTCCCAGGAATAGATATAAAAGAGATTGGATAATTTCATAAAGAATTAATTAATTGTGTTAAAAATTCAGTAATAAACAGCCAGTTGAACTGAGGTTTTACACTATTAGTCCTCAATATAAAGAACCAGAATGGTATGGAGAACATCATCTCATCACTATTTGAAAGAATAATGGAAACCCACCCAAGGAGATTCAGATTTTTAAAGAGTTACCCACTATTAATAAAAAATGGATGATTTACAGAAGAGCTCTTGGAATAAAATCAGTCTACTCAACAATGTAGTTCTTTTATGGAGAAAGATGCATGATTTATGGTATGAGCAATAATTGGATTCTTATCTGTAGGTGAGATAAAGAATTAAAAATTCTTGAAGAAAAATTTGTGAAATTATCAACAATCAATTTTTTTGGAAGTGAAGAATGCATTAAAGAGGCTTGTCGACTTGTGGGATGCGTCCACAAGTAAAGGACGATAAAAGACAACAATATCACAGACAGCACCATGTGAGCTTTAAAGCAAAAGAAGACAGCTCAAAAATTGGAATAAAGCAGTCAAAATAGGCTTTAATAAAGCTATCTACTTTTTGAATTATTGTACTATCCCTTTGAAAAAGTAGAACAATTTGATTGGCCAAAAGTTTCTCGGTGAAATGAGTGCCTTCTATAAATTGAGTCCCTTATCAAGAAGAAGATCATCCGAAAATCTCATCCTAATTTACCAACATCAGAATACCATCTTGAAAAATGATCTTTGTAATCATTCTCATTAGAGAGTAGAAACCACTTTTCGGAGTATCAATCTTTGTAAAAATCTTTGTATAATAGTTTTCAAGTTATCATCAGATCAATAAAATTTTTGAGTTTGAAATAAATATTTTATTACGTTTTGAGTGTTGTTCTACACAGTGAGTCTGTTTGAGAGTTTTGAGTGCTTTCGTATCCATTTTACTGTGATACTGTCGGACTTTGGCCAACTCTTGTAGCGAAGGTGACCAGAAACATTTAACATTCTTGCTATTGGGCGAAGCGTGGTAAGGCCCTTATTTTAAGCTATAGAGATATTTATTGTCTGAAAATTTGTATGGAAATTATTGTATAAGAATTTTTATAAGATTGTACACTTTGAAAAACTTTTATTATGGAAAATTTCGAATTTTATTATAGAATTGTACCTTTTAGATATACTAATAGTATTGATTATAGTCACATGATAGAAATTTCAGAAACTTATGATTGTTATACTAGAGTAATAAATTTCATAAAAAGAGATATTAGATATTATGAAAATATCTTACAATTGCATCATTTGGATTAAAAGAAAGATTACATAAAGAAATAATAAAAATGATTATATTTTTTTGGTTAGATAGTGGAAATAGTGAAAGAGTCTTTTAAACTATAGAAGAAGAGCATGTGAGTTATAATGAAGTTGTTGAATTATATGATTTTGATATTAGTTTTGATGATAAAGAATAAAAAATTAAAAGACCTATTTCTAATAGATTACCACAAGAATATAAGAAATTAAAATTTGATTTAACTTTAAGATTTTATATATCTATAATTAATAATAGATTATATCTTTCTGAATTAAAAGAATATATAGAATACACAAAAAATGATTAAAATTTAGTTGACCACAAAAGGTAGAGAATTGTGAAAATATGCCTAGAATAACTAAAAAATTTTGTGATAATAAAATAAAATTTTTAGAAGAACGAATAATAACTAGTGATAGTAGTAGAGAAATCGAAAAAGAAATTATTAGTTGGTATAAAATTAGAAGAGAACTATTAAGAAATGAAATTATAAGAGAATTAAGAAGGGAAGAATAATTAAGGAGAGAAATAAAACAAATGATAAATAATATAGCCCCTGTTTGCCCCTATTAAATTAAATTTTTGGGGGGTAAATAATTTTTAGAATAATGATTGATGGGAGATGTGTGGTTGAAAAGTTTTTGATTTGTGTGTATTATTATTTTATTTGATGAATGTATGGTTGAGATGAAGAGAGAAAAAAAATTAATGTAATGGAATGTAATATAATGGGGGCCAAACAGGGGCATAGTAATAAATCCCTTAAACTTACCAGACTAATGAGTTTACCAACAAAAATAATATTTGATAAACAAGAAATAAAAAATATTAGTCTACCAATAGAAGTTATCAAACTTGAAGATGGAATACAACTCTGTTTCAATCCTTAATTTCAAGAGGAAATACAGATGGATAGTTAAATATGACAACAAATTAGACTAATGCATTTTTATGACAACAATTAGGACAATTAAAATCTAAAGACATAAAAACTATAGATGAAATAAATAATATAGATCCAAAAGATGAAATAACTAAAGAAAGATTGGAAATTTTAAGTAAAAATATGTCTAAACAATTTAATAAAAAAAGAAGTGGAAAAAAGAGAAGGAAAATTAGTTATAGAAAAATAATAAACGAAGATATAGAAAATTTAATATTTGACTTGGAAGATTTAAAAATTTGTGAAGAAATAACTAAAAATCATATGGTATAAAAAACAAGAGGACCACGAGCAGTTAAATAAGAAAAATATGGAGAAACTAGCACAGTTAGGTATGAAACAGAAATAGATCCTAAAAGATATGTTAATACAAAAGTTGATTTTAAAATTAGTAAAGAAAAATGTATAGAGATCAATTCAAACCAATATTAAGATAATCAAACCCACTGAAAATTGCAAGATCATATTTAAATCTAGATTGTGAATTAGATGTTAGAAAAGATATAAATAAATGGAATGCAAGTATGATAGCACACTTTAATTATAATCGAAGTAATACTGATAATAAAAATAGAACTGAATATTTATTAGCAACTTTTAAAGGGAATGTAGCTAAATGGTATCGAGAATTAGAAGAAATAACAAAAGGTATTTGGAAAGATAGTATTGAATCAGGATTTGGAATTAACACAATAGAATGTATAAATATAGTCATTACAAGAATTTATAGAGAATTCGTATGAGAAGATTGTGTAAACGAAAGTACTAAATCTATAATTTACGAATTTGTAATATGTGTTATCTTAATAAATATTGTTGTGAATATAGTAAATATTATTATATGATATTTGGAAGTGGAGCCGATAACAATTGTTGACCGGCCATTTATGAAAGAGTAATGTTATTCATTCTCATTAAGGATGAAAATACAGTCTATGTGACTTTAATGTGGTATTAAATAATATATGAAATTAAATAAATCATTTAATTTCACCTTTCTTTTAACTTATCATTTAAAATCATTTACACTGTGTTTCATCCCCACTGAAAATGAATAACATTGCTTTTTATCAAAACCTCCCATGCAATTTTCACCATTCTCTATTATGAAAACATTTATTTAAGCAACCGATAAGTAATAGGAAGCGTCAGTTACACATCTTTGGAATTGCATTATGTTCAAAGCTTGCCTAATATTATATTATAAATTGTCGCAATTCAACAAAAGGCAGCTTTTATGATACACGCATTAAATTCGGGCCCCGCCGCCGCACAGGTGTTTGTTCCACGCTTTTCTTTCGCTTTAGACCGGTAATCTCTATTATAATCCATTCTTTTTCCATTTCTTCGCCCTTTTTTCCCCATTAATTTCTTCTTCATTCTCCTAAATTATTCGAACCCTCAAATTTTCCTTATTGGTTTTTTCCCTTTTCTAGATAAATCCAACCCTTTTTTTTCTTTTTTCTATTCATAGTTCCTTGATTTTGTATGATTACGGATTTCTCACAACAGGAAATGGTGTTACTTCTGTTCTTGTTGTTGAGATGTGACTGGACAATGAATTGATGAATGAATGAATCAGATCTTTTTCTGATTTTTATCGCGCTGCTTGCGGTAGTTTGATGGAAAGAGGGATTATGGTAATGACACGAATTCCTTTGTATTCGTGTCATAATGGATCATCTAGAAAATTAGCTTCTTCTTCGTTTACATTTTGCTTTTCCTCATTGCGAAATCTCGATGCGGCGATTGTTGTTGTTGATGTTGACAATGTCAATCGGAAATGTCGATCTTGTTTAAGTCGCAAACAATCGCCTTTCGATTCATATTCCATTGCTTCCGAGGCATTCTCCGAACGCCCACAAATTTGTTTTCCCTGGAATTCAATCATTTGATTCTGGGGTCCTTGTTCTCTACATTCTTGTTTCTACTTGGTTTTTTCTTTAGTTTTCTTGTTTCTGTTTCTGCTGTTTCGGGGTGGTGGTGGTTGTTTTTGTTATCATCGTCTTTCACCGGAATGAGTTCCAGTGCAGCCTCCAAATTGCCTCATTCTGGCAATGGAAATGGAAATTTGTTTGGTTTTTCTGTAAGTAACGGTGGAAACAATAAACCTCTGGACCTGGAGGTTGATTATGTGGAGGAATGTCCAAAGGGTCGATATGTTCGGGTAAATGTTGTTCATTTATTTTTCCCTTTTCAAAATTCCTCGAACATTGATGTTTTGTTTTTGAATAGATATTGATTATCCATTAGTTTCATTTGATGATGGGGGAGTTTGTTTGAAGCTATGTGATTGAATTTATGATCTGTCAGATCTGATGTATCAGACAGATCTATAAGCATATGAAGGTCGTGTAACTTTGTCAATGATTCAATTAAGCTGCAATTGGTTTAGCTATGTCACTACTTGTTTCTAATAATTTGATGAAATACCAATTTTCATGATCTATTATATTTAGAGAGATTTTTTGTGGAAATGTTATTGTACTCAATATTCGAACATCAAATTCTGAAGCTGAAATAATTGAAAACTATGAACTCATTCTCATGGTGGAAATATAATTGTGGTGTCAAGTTTATCGTTTTCTCATGTGTACCATAAATCTTGAAATATCGTGGTTATCTCTTTCTGAGTAATTGTTTCTTTCTTTAAAGAGTTATGATGCCCTTGAACTTGAAACTCATAGTTTGAATACAAAATCTAGCACGTACTATTTATCATGATATTTTCAAGCGTGTTGTTTGTGGTGAAACATTTTACTGATTTCATCTATTTGTAATCACTTATCTTCAACGGCCTTTTGTTTTCTTTTGCAGTACAATGAAGTCTTGGGCAAGGGTGCATTCAAGACTGTGTATGGGTTTTAATTTTGATCCTACCTTTGCCTATATATTTCATATTAACTATGAGAACTGGTATACAAAATTTATGAATTTGGCATTTTACTTTTTCTGTAGCTACAAGGCGTTTGACCAACTTGATGGAATAGAAGTGGCATGGAACCGAGTGAAAATCGATGATGTGTTGCAGGCACCTGAAGATCTGGAAAAATTGTACTCTGAGGTTCATATTCTTAGGCAATTGAAGCATGACAATATCATCAAGTCTTACGATTCATGGATTGATGATAAGAAGAAGACTGTAAACATGATTACTGAACTTTTCACATCTGGAAGCCTGAGGCAGTAAGTTATTTTGCTTGTTTCTCGATGGTGTAGGAATTTTAGTTCTGTCATCGTGATTTTGTAATTTATGCATTGTATGCTTTGGCTTCTAGATATCGTAAGAAGCACAAAAATGTCGATATGAAAGCTATAAAGAATTGGGTGAGGCAAATTCTCCAAGGGTTGGCCTATCTTCACAGTCAAAACCCACCCGTCATACACAGGGACTTGAAATGTGACAATATTTTAGTTAATGGAAACCGAGGAGAAGTTAAAATTGGGGACCTTGGATTGGCAACCATCATGCAGCAGCCCACTGCTAAGAGTGTCATTGGTATGAATATCTTCAATTAGTACTTATCAAATAGAAATTAATTGTCTGAAAAGTGCTTGATTTTTTTTTTTTTGCTTCTTTTTAGGAACCCCAGAATTCATGGCTCCAGAGCTTTACGAAGAGGAATACAATGAACTTGTTGACATATATTCCTTTGGTATGTGCTTATTGGAAATGGTTACTCTGGACTACCCATATTGCGAGTGCAATAACCCTGCTCAAATTTATAAGAAAGTTATCTCTGTAAGTTTGTTCACCTTCACCGGCTCATGTATTTAACCAAATGTATGTAACTGTCATCTGAATCAATGTTGTATTACAGGGTGTCAAACCTGCTTCTCTTAGTAAGGTGAACAATCCTGAAGTCAAGGAATTCATTGAGAAATGTTTGGTTCCGGCTTCTGAAAGGTTGTCTGCTAAGGAACTTCTTAAGGATCCCTTTCTTCAATTTGAGAGTTCAAAAGAACCTGTTTGCAATTCATTAAAATTACGATTACCTAATGAAGTTCCTAGATCTTCAAGTCTTTTAAATCCTGGGCCGCATTCTATGGATATAGATCCTGAATATAACCAGTCGATGTGGACAGACTCCAATTGTGGGAGCCCACATTCTCTAGAACTGGAATTTCAAAGGATGCATCAGAATAACGAGTTCAGACTGAAGGGGAAGAAAAATGATGACAACTCAATCTCATTGACCTTGCGAATTGCAGACAAGGGTGGTAAGTTGGCTAGCACTAATTTATTCTGCTCAGTTTTCACCATATCAAAGTAGCAGTGCATGATCTTTCTGTTTACAATGCAGGCCGAGTGAGGAATATACACTTTCTATTCTACCTTGATTCAGACACTGCTCTCGCTGTTGCAGCTGAGATGGTTGAGCAACTGGAATTGGCAGATCATGATGTGGTGTTCATTGCCGACTTTATCGACTACCTCATAATGAAAATTTTACCCAACTGGAAACCTTCATCTGATTGTCACTCCAGTGGAGAAAGAAATGCAAGTGGCCTAACCTTGATGGCAAATCAATGGAGAATGTTCTTGGCAGATTCTCCAGCCAACTTCAAGCTTGACCAACATTACGTGTCTGAGTTTCATAAAGAAACTCATATTTGTGTACAATCTGACGGGAGTAAGTTCTATGGTAATCCCAGTTTTGCGTCCTCTGCTCATGATGCATTCTTCTCAATTCCATGTTCGGTGAATGCAGAACATGAAGAGTCACTAGGATCAGTGACCTCTGAGGTTATGCTTGAAGATATTTCAATAAAGAATGTGAACACTCGCAGATGGGTTGATTCTGGTAACAATGGAATCTCGAAAGCTTCTAGTGATGTTCTGGAAATGGAGTATAGGGATCTATATTATTTCGAGTGCAATGTGCATGGAAATGTTAGTGATGAAGTAGAACTTCTTCCAATGAACCAGATGACAGAAAAGTCAGAATCGGTTTTCTCCGAGGATCTAAATGCCGTCTCCAAATATATGAGCCTAGCAAGCAGTTGTTCGTCTTTAACCTTAGTCGAGAAAGACCCTGAAAACCAGATGAAGTCAGAGATTGATGCAATCGAAACACAATATCAGCAATGGTTTCAAGAAATTTCGAGGATGAGGCAGGAGGCAACAGAGGCTACCAGGAAGAAATGGACAGACAAAAAAGTTACCGTTCATTGAACAAGAATGTAAGAATTTCTGTACGAGGATTCCCTGTTGTGTCTTTTTATGTTTTTAGGTTGTGATGCATCTTTTGGATACTCCATGATGGGATTTGGCTTCCTTTGTAGAATTAATGGTCTCTTCAGACCCCCAATTTATTATTTAGGGGGTGAAGACCATTTTGACTTGTACGACTATGTACATAATTTCTCGGTTCTGGATAATTTTCTATTCGCCTATTACTTCTTTTTCTATTTGTCACCTGATCAAGGATTCGACACCAAAAGCCTTATGTCTCAAACTCAGGTAAAGAAGTAAGGCTAGGCAAGTTTGATAGGTAGCATAAAATTCTATGACATCTTGTGATATTAGTGCTTAAATTTAATAGATTAGAAGAATGAAGGACGGCTCAAGGACGTTGTGGTAGTTGATAGTTTAATGTGTAGTTGCACTTATGTTCCGAACTTCTGATTCTTGTGCCCCAAGTTCCAAACCTTTCATTCACGTGTTCTTTGTTCAATGGTCGTGAAGGTATGTTTAATAGGCTTTACATTCTTATTCATGTGCACTTAAAATAACGGTTTTGCTGATGTGGAATAGCCGATGGAATTAAGCAATTTTACCTTTGTGCTCCTTGTTTATGTTTTAGACGACCAAAAAATAAGACTTCTCATTTTGTACCTCTCTGAAAGTAAAATGGGCTGAGCCAAATTGTGCAACGATAATGGAAGGTTAAAGACCATAGTTGACGACTGTCGGGAATAAAATCTATCCTCTCGATAGTAATCCAAATAAAATAACAAACTCTATCGAGATGAAAATAAATTTGACTCCAAATGAACTCTATTAATAGGACCTTTTACAACCCTCTAGGTATTATATACAAATACACTCCCAAATTCCTCCCTTTTCAATTATAGTGAACAACTTGTTACTATCGAGTATTAATTTAAAAACATTGGAGGGGTCACGCAGAAAAATCGCACACCCTTTTTTGCAGATTTTACAAAGGAGAGCTTGCTAATTAAAGGGTTTTACTTAAAATTTATCCTAAGCAGAATCTACAAACATTTTTTGATTATCTCACCTAAGCTTTTATAGCCTGTTTGCCAACCATTATTGTCGAAAAAAGAGTTTTAAATAATGAATTTTAGGGAAAATGTGTGGTTAAAAAGTCGGGAAAAGGTTTTGATATACGTATTGAATATTTTATTGCTTAAATGTGTGGTTGAAAATGATTCTATAGCCAACTATAAAATGAATCAATGGGTGTCAAATAGACATGTAATGAGTGATTAAAAAATACAAAAAAATATAAAAAAATATGGAAAAATATTTGTTTAGAGGATGTGGTTTAATTGACTTGACTTAAATTTCTCACAGCTGGCTGCCACTGACGGAAATTAATGTTGGTATATAATTGACATATTATCTTCAACGTACTTCTCCACATAACGTAGAGTTCACTTAAATTTATTTTTCATCAAATTTTAATATGTCCATTGATCTCATCACAAGTTAAATTCAAACATTTCGCTTCGCGCCAGGCTTGAAACCCATAATATTTTCCATCCATGAAGTTGAACATCGAGTAAGATCTACCCATAGATGGACACCTTTACAAGGACTTTTGTTTACAACACACCATTTAAGGTCCCTATTTACAACCTTTGACTAGGTAAATCAACATCAGCCTTATTTCCTCTTTAATAAATATGTTTACATTTTGGATTCAAATCCTCAGGGCTTAAAGTATGGATTTTTCTCCTTGTACCGAGGGTGTACAACGCCCCCTACCGGCCCCCTCACATGAGGGGGGCACACAAAATAGTATAGTGCGGTTCTTAAAAGTATTGACAAGCCAACAATTTCTTCATTTGTTTGTTCCTTCAAACCATGAGAAAAAAACGTATATCAATGCCCTTGTTCTTGGGAATTAAAAATATATTTTTTGTTAATCAAAACGTTTTATAGCATATCCATTTGGGAAAAAAATTATAAACGGCTTAATTTATAAATAGCTACAGATGACTTGTGGATTCATTGAAATCTATCGTTAAAAATGAAAAACCATTTATAAATTAGCTAAACGGTAATTCTTAATCCAAATAGTAATGACACAATTAGAAAAGGAAAAACATTTAGGTCATGTAATTGCACTTCAATTTCATGGAAGATAGAAATTAAATTCCATTTTCCACATTTTTGCATATTTGATTATCCAAATTTTCTATGAATTGGTTTCCATGTTTCACCTACATGCGCACATTTTCTTGATTTTTGAGGAAAAATTTTTCTCATCACTTTGGTGAGAAAAGCTTTTTTAGGCAACTCTTTTTAAAAAGTTTTAAATTTTTTATTATTTTTTATTTTTTTACAATGAAATAAATTATATCCCCAATTGTAACAAATTATATCCTTTTAATGGACAATTTTCATTGAAAACAAAGTCAAATGAACACTAAAAGATCCAAAATTTCAATATTTTTCAGGTAAAAAATTATACCAATAAAATACAATTAATTGACAATTCTCAATAAAATAAGTTTTAGGCAATTCAATTCCTTGAAATTCATTTTCTTTCCACCTAAATTTCATTCTTGCAATCAAATGAACCCTTAAAATTTTATACTCATTACCTTGTACAATAGATTAGATTAAATAGCAATGACACAAATAAAAAATAAAATTTTAAATGTTAGTCTCTATCTGTATAATATTGTTCATATTCATTACTTCCACATCAATTATTATATAACAACTCTATTGACTTGACTTAATGAACAATTCAATATATTTTTGTGTTAGTGAGCAGCCTTCAATTATTTAGTAAACGAAAGGTAAAACAAGTTGCAATTTCATGGGAAAAGATTAGGAATATTCTTTTATATTATCCTATACCATGTTTGTTAGCATCGTAATATTATGGACATATTTGGTACATTTATAATTTTTATTTTTTCCTTAATAAAATAAATGCTGCGAATTAAACGTACCAAAGATTTCAATGAATACTTTGTCTAAGCTCACGAAAATAGTTGCTACAATATTATATTCAAAAGCACTTATTCAAAAAATACATTATTCTTGCTTTTTCAATTATAGTTGGATAGTGAAATATAAACCAGGAAGCAATTTTATTCGAAATTGGAATAAAATTGTTAATGAAAATCCGAAGCACTCCAAGAATGTCTAAATATTTCGATAACTTGATAATAGAACAATCCGCACCGTCCATTTCAAGAAATTATTTAAAGATTGACTATAGAGTATAGACCTTGTGCATTATTTTCCTATATCAATGGTAGGCCTCCCCACAAGTTTCATCATCAAGATTTTCTCTCAGTGCACATCCCAAGTGTATTTGAGAAAACAAAAGCAAAAATGGAGAGCAACCAGCAAAGTGAATATGAAGACTTGTTGCCAGTAATGGCAGAGAAGTTAGATGTGGATGCTTTTGTTGAAGAACTTTGTGGGGGATTTCGTGTTCTGTCCGATCCGACAAGCAGGTTGATTACTCCTTCAAGTTTGCAGAAGAATTCCTCGTATTTGGGGTTCGAAGGAATGAGCAAAGAAGATGCCGAGGAGATGGTCAGAGAAGGTGATATCGACGGAGATGGAGCGCTTAATGAGAAAGAATTTTGCGTACTTATGGTGAGACTCAGTCCTGGGATGATGCAGGATGCAGAAGCATGGCTTGAGAAGGCGATGCAACAAACCATATGATTTTACGATTTCTGTGCATGTTGAGTAAGTTGTACTGCATATGACTCGAAAGTGCAATCTAGTACTCTAATATTCATATTCATATTCTGTGTTCTTCTCTTATGCATAAATGACCCGAGTAATTATCTTATCAACTATGTATCTACTTATGAAGATATTGTGTACGGATCAGCTCACGAATTTCAGAAATACTTTTTACCGTATTACAGGGGCAACTTTGTTTATAAAGCACAGGTCCAATCATTGAGGAAAAATGAGATGGCAATAGAAGGGCTCGAATACTAACACTTGAACCTAAGTATCTAAACCTAGGAGTCAACACAAATTAAACATTTAACAAGGGCAAATCAAAGATCTCCCTTCTGTTTATAATTTGGTTCCGACACATGCTACATCTACATTAATTTTTACATTAAATTTGACATCCTTTGATATTACATTCATCATAGTCATTGATTTTTATAACATTATTTCACATCACTAGCCAAATTTGGACATATAAGAAAAATGTCATCCTTAATGTCAACAAAAATATACATATACATTATTCTTGTTTTCCCTTTAGTTCACTCAATTGTTTGTTTAAAAATTGAATTTTAATCTCCATTTACATGGGTAAGACCCTCTCACATTAGGTGGGACCCGCTCAATAAAAAAGTAAAATAACCGACCCACCCCTGCGAGTTGTTTATGGAGGTTCTGGGCGTTATCCACTACTACTCAATTGGAACTACAAGATTCAATAAGCTGTAAGAACAGACAAAGTACGGCGATATAACCACCAAATTTTCATTCAATCAAAGTAACTTGAACTAAAGATCTCCACCCAAACTAACAAACATCCAAGGAACTCAACAATCGTCGTTGGAAAGTTAAATAATAGTCAAGTTTGTTCTTCTAAATGATAGGTACAGCTTTCATTTACTATATATAGCATACTAGAATAGAGCATGCCCAAATTCCATTCTCATGCTTTCATCAAGTTCTTGACCTCCGGATGGGCGATCTGCTGTAAAATGAATTAGAAACGATAATGTGAGTAAAATAATGCCATAAAAGTACATAAAGTAACTTCTTTTTTTCATAATCTATGCAAAATTTTTAATATACGAGGTCCCACTCCCTCCAGTGTCTATTAACAAAATTTTTACTTGCTATCATGACGCAACATAAATCAAAGAGAACAATATTAACAAGTATCAACAAAAACATGTGTACGGTATCTACCTTCTGTACCTCCCATGTTCAGGACTCCTGTGCCTGTCATATGATGGACCGTTGTACCTATCATATACAGGGCTACTAGGACGCCCATAATCAGGACTTGGTCGACTCCTGCGATAAGCTGGACTGGGTGACCTCCTGTAAGGACTATCTCCACCACGCCTTCCATAATCTCTTCTGAGGGGGCTATCATGCCTTCCACCCCTCTCATCATCATCCCTTAAAGCATATTCAACAGAAACCACTCTGTCCAATATCTTGCTGCACATTCACAAGACATGCTGTCAAGCCAACGTGACATCAACAGAGACACAATCCCTCTTTTATTATATCAGATGAAGAGATATGCACCGCTGCAAATGAGCAAGCTTACCTCATGTGTGTGCACTCCAATGCTTTTGTGGCTTCTTCTTGAGTCTCAAATTGCACAAATGCAAAATTCCGACGAATGCGAACATTGAGAACCTTCCCATAAGGTTCAAAGTGTCGTTCTATGTCATGGACCCGGGTGCTAATAGGATCAAAGTTTATAACAAACAAGGTTTTAGTCGGTCTCTGGTTTGCTGCCTTGCTATCATGATGCCTGCCACGTTCACCCTGTCAAGGCATTCTAAACCTTTTAATATCAAAAGCACATATGACATGGTAGAACCCAACTTATTTCATTACCCAAGAAAGAAACATAACAGAACACCTCTTAGTTCATTGTGAAACCAGCCAACAGTAAGTACTGTTCAAGTGATAAAATAACTTATAACGGAACAACATACCCTTGCCCATTCTACCGACAATCTATGCCTGCCATAGCCAAATGGTTTGCCGTCAAGACCACGGATGGCATCTTTGGCATCTCGCTCGTCCTCAAAATATACAAATGCAAATCCTGCAAGAAAATTAGCATGAGGCAGAGGCAATATAGAATAAGGTTGCATAATGACCTTGCAGCAGAGAGTGCATCCGCTACTAATTCAGGCATTATTTTCCCATGACAAGTTAGATAAAGTACAAAACCTGCAAAATTGTGAAGGTTCTGGTGAAAGTAAGGATGTAGAAGCCTTGCATGATGAACTAAAGCAAGAGGATGAATATGATGAAGGCAAATAAAGGCTTAGATCCATGGTGTCAGGTCTGAGTTGTCATTGCTAAGCATGGTTCACCAATTTCACAGCACGAATTCAGTATATAGAAGACATGGCATGAAAGAACTCATTGATCTCCTTATGATTAGTGATTGTAGGCATGGCATGATGAAATAACACATTGTCCCTTATGATTATAGTGGTTGGCATGGCATGGCATGGCATGGCATGATGCACAGATGGTTCCCACCATAACCATTCTGGTGAGATGGCAACCTTAGGCATTCAAGGAAGTGAAAGAGAAGATTGAATGAAAGAAGTGTAGAACGTTTCCATCTGAGTAGGAGACAGGGAAGCAGATAGATTGCCTCTGCATTATAGGTTTATAGTGCAGAGAAGTTGGCGAGCCAAGATAGAAGCTCATATTCCCTTAGTAGATGTCCCTGCGTCAAAACAAATGCTTAAATGTGGATATCTTTTCCAATAAAGACTTCAATTTTCCCACCATTTATTTTTTTCCCAGCGGTCTTATACTTCTTTCTCTCATTTTAAATTCCTGTGGATAGATCTTGCCACAATATGCATTTTGGATATGTATTCAAAATGACGGAAGTATATTCATTAAGGAAAAAATAATTCTATGAACTTATAATTAACCACAAAGCTAGAACATACAAGAATCAATAAACGTAATGGATATTAGAATACCAAGAATCAATAAATGATATGGATATGGATATTTCTATAACTATTGAGAAGTTAAGATAAAACAATACCCAAAAATAAGAAAATTATTAATAGTTTAGGCACTAATTTAATACCATATAGATAATTAACAACCCATGATACTTTTCAAAACTGAGAGCACTAAGCTTTAAGACCATGAACAAGTAAACGCCGTATTAAGGGGGTGTATTCCAGTTGGATTTTTAAAGACCATTAGAGACCTTTCTAAGTAAATAACTTTTGTAGAGTTAAATGAACTTTCATTGACTAATAAAATCATGAAAGTCTTCATAGATTTCTATAGACTTAATAGAATTTATACAACTTTTACAAACTTAAAAAAAAGAAAAGAAACCTTGTATTTAACTTATTGTATGTCTTCTCAACTGCTACTTGCATGACCAAATGATTCACAACACACCGTAACAAAATCATCTCTCATGTCAATAACAATATTTTTTAAAAGAGTATAAACAGTATAAGTCACCTAAATCAGAAAAATTTAGCCGTTTGACATCCTTAAAATTTTAAAAACATTGTTTTGAATAGTATTTTTTTTTTTTTTTCTGAGAATGTGTGGTTAAAAAGTTGGAAAAAATTTTAGATCTACGTGTAGAGTATTTTATTATATGAATGTGTGGTTAAAAATGAGTATGAGAAATAAATTAAATTAAATTAAAGTAAAGGATGTCAAACAAGGACTCACTAACCAAAATACCAAAAAAAAAAAAAAATTATAACATTCCAATGCTCTTTGATGAAAAAAAAAATTCTCTAATGCTCAATAATATTGACTGTTCAAACCTGTAGAAAGTTAGTTGCCCTAAAAATACAGTATAAGGAAATATTTTTTTTTTTTTTTGTTGATAAGTACAGTATAAGGAAATATAGCCTATATAAACACAAGATTCAAAAGTAAATTTCATTTGATTGCCATATTTTCAATTTTCTTTCTATTCATTCCAGCGTTTAGTCAAATATACAAGCACATACTTGTCAAACTTCAAATTCCATTCCAAATCTTTACATACAATAATCAAGAATAACAGTAAACTATCAAGATACAGATATCAGATTATCTTGATAAACTCGTACTACAAAAAACAATTTATTTACCAGATTTCATGTCAACGCGCTCGACTCTTCCATATTTGGAGAACAACCGCTCCAAATCCGACTGTCGAGTCTCGTTCTCGAAGTTCCCACAGAAAATCGGCCTCATCATCAACAACTCTGCTCCAAAATTCACCTAACATGAAAACAAAAAAAACACACATATCTTACCAAAAGATACAGCCAAGATTCATCATAAACACAAAATCAAAATTATCTTAGCTTAAAACATATGAATTTGAGAGTATCATGAGAGAATTTACCTTCGTGCGTCAAATGGCGAAGCCAAAAAAACCCTAGCTTTTGGTTGAAAAAGAATGGCTTGTGCATTAAATAGTTGAGGCAAAGGCGTAATTCCACGTGACAGTAGGAGGTGAATTACCAATATGACCTTTTTTTAAAATAGTTCAGAAAAGAATTTTTTTTTTTTTTTTTTTTTTTGTTAATCAAATATTAAAGTTGCAAAAATTTTACTCTTTTTTTATTTCGGGTTTTAGTCGAAATATTTTTTTCCCTTACATGGTAATAAATGAGCAATATCTGTTCAACAAATAAAGTATATGCATTTATAGTCAGGGGCGGATGCAGAAGTTTAAAGTTATGGGATATAATCGAAATTACAAAAAATTTGAGAGAAATTTTACAATTGAAAATTTAAGTAAAAAAAATCACACCACATATAATTATCCGAAAATTTACATGAGATATGACTTTTTCCAATGTAAAATTTTGAAATTTTTTGACGTCATATTTCATATTAAATTTCCTAATAAAATGATGAANAAATTTATTGTCATTTTGCTTCTATTTGGTGGAGATTAAAATCAATTTTTTTAGTAAATTTTGATAAAAATTAAATAGTTATGGATTCTATGAAATATGTTATTAGAATTAATTGTTAACATTGATTTAGATTTCAATTGATACCAAACATAAATTTTATACGGAGTGAATTTGAATTGTGAGAACTATATCCAATATGGATCATCATGTGAAAAATTTATGGATCCTGTTATTTATTTTGTTTGTTTTAGCTTGGACAAAAAATACAATTGGACACTATATTTCGTCTATAAAAATAGAAATTGTGATAAATTGATTTTTTCGTGAAATAAAAAGCCGGTATCCTCTTGTGACTGCTAAGTTACAAATACTCTATTAACCATCCGAGTGTTAAAGATGGGGGCCACATGACTTTCTTATAAAATGATGAAAATTACATTGAAGAATTTGTATCGCAAAAATAATAAATGTTAATGAAATAATTAAACCTTTTTAAAAACAAAACGAGTTAGACATCTTTTGAAAGATGGGGGCCACATGACTTTCTTCTTGGACTTCATGGCTTGATTTTGATTTGTTAAAGAATTTGATTTTCTTGAATTTGGATTTGGATTTGAACTTGTTTTGATTAGAATAAGATTTTAATCTTCTCGAATTCCTGGACTTGGACTTGAACTTGAACTTGAGACTTACTTCTCTTCTTCATCTGAACTTCGGATCTTGAATTGATTTCTCCTCGAGTTGTATATTTTCTTTTGTACTTGAATTTTGATGATTTCTCCTTAATCTTTAGTCCTATTAATAGATAAAATTTTGTGAATCACCTTATTATATTTACATCGATTATTAATATAAATATGATTCATGAAAAGTAGGATGACTTCCTACATGGGCTTCTTCAACATAAATGTGTTTAGTAGACTTTAGGCTAATATAAAATTAAATGTGCTATTTATGTAAAATCGACCCATTTTATTTAAATATTTTTTAAATTTCTACAACGCGCCTATGAACGATACAAGAGACATTTCTCATAGCATTACACTTCATTGAGATGGTACATATTATAGCAAAATTTTCACCTTGTGCACTAGCCTTAATTGGCACCCTTTGCAAGCAAAAGTGGTATATCTTGCCATATTAGAACCTACAACATTACTTAATAGTATGGAAGACTCTTAGATGTTATACATTAAGCATATTTCTTCAATATCAGAATTCAAATCAGTTGTACAAACGTCTAATTTCATTTTAGATGTAACATCATCTAAAATTGCAAATATCATATCTAACCTAGGATGAGATTTATCATCTAGAACGAATTTATGAATCTTGCTACCTTCCTCAATCAAGCTATACCCAGCTGCTTTGTAATATTTGAGCCTTTAGCAAATTTCCTTAACTTTGCAACTCCATCCCACTTGCCTACACTTGCATATATATTAGAAAGAATCACATAATTACCTAGATTCCGCGGCTCCGGCTTAGAGAGAGATTCTGCAACTTTATCAGTCGGCTAGACATTGCCATGGAAACTGCAAGCCCCAAGCAGAATTCCTCAAACAATGGAATCAGTTTTCATCGGCATAGTCTGTATAAGATCATAAGCTTCTTGTAGTTCTCCTGCACGACCTAGAAGATCAACCATGCATCCGTAAGATTGTCCCCTACGAATGTGACATCGTCACGTCTTATATCCTTTTTCCCTGCATCGTCAATGACATCATACATAGCATCTTAATTACGATGAGAAAATTTATATTTACAACTAATTTTTTCGCACCTTACTAGTGATTTACCCAAATAAAAGACCCAAAGTTATTCAAGTTGAGCATAGTTAGAATGCTCACCAACATTTGGTTAAACAATTCAAGAGCTTTATCACATTTTCCATGGACTGCTAAACCCATGATTATAGCATTCCAAGAACACAAATTTCTATGTCCAGCAATGTCATCAAACACTTGCAATGCTCTGTCAATTATACCACGTCTTGGATAAAATTCGAGCACTGCATTGCAGACAAACATATTTTTCAAATAATCGTGTGCTCATGCATGAGCTTCAATCTATTATCCAACCTCTAACGTCCCAAGAGTTGCACAAGCTGGAAGAACTCTAGCTATAGTCACTTCATTAGGCTTTTATGTTCCCCCTCCTCCATTTCCAAGTAAATTTCCAAAGCCTCCCTATATTTCCCATTGCAATCCAAAAAATCACATTCCTCTATAGCAAAGTCGAGAACAAACGTACAGCTTCATCCAAAACCCCACACCTCAAGTACCCATCAATTAAAGATTTCCAACTCAGAACATACTTAACACTCATCTCATCAAACTGTTTTAGAGCAAAATACACCTTATCAATTTTAGCATAAATGTCAACTAGTGCAGTTGGCGCATATACATCGCTCTGCCGGCCAAATTGAATGAAATGAGCATGAAGCATTTGTCCTTCAGAATGGACATAAAGGTTGGCAATGTGCATTAGGAGAATACCCTTGGTGCAACATCTAAGAATAGAGATACAAGCAATGAAAATGAGGCGCATAAAAAAGAGTAGGCCTGGATGAGCTTGTTGTAGAGAAAAACAGTTGGTTTAGGCGTATTATCAAACAGTTTGTGAGCATAGCGTATGTTTGGGATCTGCAAGAGTTCGGTGATTAAATACTCCATAAAATCTATGCCATTCCTAATAGTGTGTACGTGTATATGCTTCAATGGTGCAAGTCACATTGATGAAATTGTGATTCACAATTTGGCTAATCAGGCAGTGGAACGAGAAGCTGGTATGGATGGCCAGAAGATCACCTACGCTCTTATTAAGCATCGTCTAGGAGATTTATTCTACCGTTTAGTGTCTCAAAAGTTTGAGGATCCTGCTGAAGGAGAGGAAGCCCTGGTTGCGAAATTCAAGAAACTTCATGAGGATTTGACAGGTGGTTTCCGCAACCTCGATGCATCGGTACAAATTCTTGCCAAATCTCTATGCCAAGACAAAAAACAGAATTGGAGAAGGTTTTCTTAATATGCTATTTTATTGATTGATACCACCGTACGTAGATAACTAGAGGATGAAGAATATATAATACAACTCATGCACCTGATATGTTTGAAAAATAGATATTCATAAACCAGTTCCTTAAGACTACATGTTTGAAGTTTCCTTTATCAAATAAACTACCATTTACTCTTAGAAGTCCTTGACACCAGCCATAGTCCTTGAATAGATATTTGAATGAGCATAATCTCCCTTATCTCTCCATTAACTGTGGGATATACCTTATAACTCCTAAAGCTCATACTGATATCTTTACTGGCATGATCAATTCTGCAGCAATGTGGAGATTGTTAAAAGTTGCTACGTTCTCGAATTGATACCATTTTTTTGAAAAAACTTGTTTCTCCTAAACGAAGTTCAATTGGTGGTAGCACTTTTAGAGGAGATGGCGACGTGGCAGCTTAGCAAATTTGTTGTAATATTGTGTGGCTCATGTGGTTTATATGAAATTTGGATGTCTCTCGTGCTGTGAACGCTGCAAACATTGGTTTGTGCTTAGTGATTAAACACATTTCCAATTGGCTGATGCTCAACGGGTGTTATGCTTAGTCCCTGTTTGGTGTTGATTAAAAGTAGATTTTTAGTACATATTAATAAAAAAAAAAAAAATGAAATATGTCGTTGAAATTTGTGAATCCTGTGAAATATGTAGTTAAAATTAATTGTTAACTTTAACTTCGATTAAAATAAAGATTTTAATCCCCATTAAACGGGGCCTTAATAATTTTTAGGGAAACATCGCTCAAATCTAATTTTTCAGAAATTTTAAACCTGAACTGCTTCCAAAACATGAAATGACTTTGTTGAACTATATAATAAATCTTTGTTTCAAAAATCATGTTCAGTGGCACTCATGAGAGTAGAATTCTTGAGTACCATACGAAAATCGATAATATGAGTTGGATGATGACCACGTAAAATATTCTTTATTTCTCACGAAAAAATAAGAACCCTAAATTTATTTGTGCCATTGTCAAGACCAATTGGATTTATTGACACTAGTGAGAAGTTTAGAAAGTGGACGTTCGATCCCAATCATCCCCTTCCCTTCCCCAAGAAATAGAAAAAAATCTTATTCGTGAGATCTCTCTAATTAAAAATCTTCTCTAGGGAATATTTGATAGATATTATTGAGGAAATAATATATTTTAAGTAGTGATATGATGGAAAATATGTGATTAAAAAGTAAGGAAGTTATTGATGTGACGAAAAATATTATTTTATTGAAAAATATGTGATTAAAAATGAGTTTTGAAAGAATATATTTTAAGGGAACGTGCGTCGGACAGGTTCTAGTACTACACAGCTGTAAAACATAGGAATGCATATGATTTTTTACGCGTTAAAGTCCTGCAAACCCATTGAATTGACTTCAAATGTATATTCACAACTAGAAATTTGAAAAACTAGATCATTAAAATCAACTTTCTGAATTGAAAATGATTACAGAATTAAAAATTAAAAAAAACACCATATGATTGATGACATTGTCATCGTTCGATCATCTCGTGATCATGGTCTAGCGATTCAGGTTTCTTGCAACTCTTTAATCTTAGCAGTCCGTACAATTTCCGAAACTCCTTAGGCACGACCGTGTCCTTCCAGGCCAGGCCACCAGCATCCTCAACGGTTGAGGACTGGACCGGTGATGACGCCGCGCTCTCGCTCAACTTATGTCCACACTTTCCTCCACCACCAGCACTGCCGACGCTGCTTCTTCTGTTTGAATGCAAAGCCGTGATCACTGATTTCAATGCACGGCTCGGCGAACTCCGGTTCACTAGCATCAGTTCCCCAATCTCTGCCGGGCTCATGGTGGCGCCGCTCTGAAATATTTCTTCTACTTGTGGAAACAGTTTATGCTCCTTAACCCCTAAATAACTTCCGGCTAAACTCTTGAATGAATTGAAATCACACATAGGAAAATAAATATGAAAATCAATTCTTCCAGGCCTCAAAAGTGCTGAATCAATTCCTTCTTTATTGTTCATAGTAAAAACCATAATTCTCCCATCACAAAAGCTTGAACCCAGAAGTCCATCCATAAAATTCATCAGCCCAGATGAAGTGACAGCCGTTGATTTCTCAGCAACATACCGATCCAAATCTTCAACAACTATCAACGACTTTGATGTCGTTTGCAGCAGAAGCATGTTAAGATGGGAATCATCTGAAACTTGTGATAAATTAACGTTGTAAACATCGTAAGAAAGGAAATTCGCCATTGCTGCAACGAAACTGGATTTTCCGGTGCCAGACGGACCGTAAAGAAGGTAGCTCCGCTTCCACGCGCGGCCGAGCTTTTGATAATACTGCTTGGATTTCATGAATGTTTCAAGATCGGATTTCACCTTGTTTTTCAAATCTGGATCGAGAGCAATTGAGTCAAGATTTGCAGGATGTTCAAATGGAAGAGATCTCCAATTACAATCAGTATTTATGTGTAGCTTCAAATCCTTCCTTCTTTGAACAATATCATCAGAAACTGTATGTATATGTTGAAGATAAGGTTTTAGGATTCTCCTCTTATCCTTTTTCTTTATCTTCAATACAAAACTCCGATGATTTCTTCCGATTTTGTTCATCCATGAAACTCGTGCTCCGAGAAAAGTATCAGTGATTGTTTGATCATCATCGAGGCACAAAACGATGTCATTCGATTTCTTGCCGGAGAATAGATTGGTGAAATCGGAATCTTCAACAGAAGCCAATGAATTTACATAAACTGAAACTTTTTGGTAGAACTGATTTTGCTGACAGTTTTCGTTGAATTCAGGGACCTTCAAGTGCTGATGTACATGAATCCGATCATCAATCCATTCGCCCCACTTCCTCAGAACAAAGATTAAAGCAGTTCGATGAAGAAATAATCGAACGAGAAGTATTAATGATACAATCAAGAAAAGTACCAAGAAAACATGAAACACAAACATGGACATATGTGTACTGATTTTTCAATCTGTTGCGTTTTCTGAATTTTTTGATGAAAAGTGGAGGGAGGAGATTATTATGAATGAAAAAGGGTTCTACTGTTTATATATACACAAAGCACATATACATACATACATACATATTTTATTTTATTTTATTTTATTTTATTGTGTGTTATATGTATATCGTATAAGATTTTTAGGTTAGTCAATGACGAAGAAACAGGATGGAAACCTACATATATTGATCTTACTTTGTGTATTGTATTTGTACATAATTTTTGTAGTGGAGGTTGGTCCACGAAGGAGGAAAGAAGATGGGACGAAAAAAGTAAATTTTAATAGAGGTCACCCAACTTAAAGGTTTGTTTTTGTTAGTCACTCAACTTCAATCTATTTCTTATTGATCACCTAACTTATATTCTTGTTCAGCATAATCGCTCAACTTAGATTTTTGTTTCAATTTTCTCGCTCGGTTTTATATTTTCATTTCAATTTGACTATTGGTTTAGTAATGTTTACCGAATTGGACACATTTCATGACTATGGACTGATATTTGAATATGAATTCTTTTGCACTGGAGTGAAGGATTTTGGTTTTAATAAATGTGTGGAGCTCTGGGAGAACAGACGCAATACTTGGGAAGGAGTTTGGTAGTGAAGGGAAGGATGGACGTGAAGAGGAGCATGCACTCATCATGCAGATTATAAGAACAAGTTGGATATGTGCGATGTGAAGAGATGTTATCACTTTTCTTAAAAGCAATAGTCGATAAGAGAGACACAGTTAAGCCCTATATCAAGTTTATGCTATGGAACTTCCCGAGTGTTATTTGTTTGGGAGCCAACCTACTCCCTTATGCAATAAGATCATCCTCATATTCAGTGATGCTCCGCGTAACATAAAATGAAGCTCCATGTTCAAGCAGTGTTGGTAAGCAAAATAGTGAAATTGTAACAAAATAAAATTTTGGTAAATAAGAGCTTGTTTGAACTCTAATTTTTCAAAAATTCATTTTCAACTGTACATTTTCCAGTAAAATAATTTTACATGTAAATCAAAAATATTTTCTTACTTTTTAACTACACATTTTTCAAAAAATTATTCCTGCAAAATGAGGCTCAAACAAGGACTAGATTGAGAAATAACCAACATGAAACATACCTATAAGTTTAAATAATATTCAGCAAAATTTTCACAAACAATGATGCGTCTCCTAGTAATTTACCTTATTGTTCACGACTTTTAACGTTGGTTTTGGGTTGCGTCCCGTGGTAATACATTGGGTTATAAATAAAATTGGCCCTACCAAATGGGTTACTTCTCCAACTCAATAAAGTTGACATTGATTTTCTCATCAATAAGGTTTGTTCTATTTTTGAAATTAGGGTCCGTTTGTTTGCAAAGTTGGAAAATGGGTGGAAAGAAAATGTTTTATAGGGAATTAATTTTCTTAGAAAATGTTTTACTGGGAATGGTAATTAATTGTGTTTGATTGGTAAAATTTTCTATGGAAAATGTAGAAAGTTTTGTGTCCATTTGACTTCATTTTTTATGGAATTTGTCCATTAAAGTGATAATTTTTTCTACCATTGGGTCTAAAATTTGTTCCAATTGTAAAAAAAAATTTGAAAAAAAAAATTGAAAAAAAAAAAAATTACCATACCGAATATCATTCATTTGACTTTGTTTTGCATGGAAGTTGTCAATAAAAGTGAAAATTTTTTTTACCATTGTATCTAGAATTTGTTCACATTGCAACAAAAAAAAAAAAAATAGTGGAAAATGTTTTCCCACCAAATAGGTGAGAAAACAAAATCAAGTTTTTGTGCATCAAATGATTGTACCTAGAAAAAGGTGGAAAACCAATTTTAGGGAAAAAAAGTGCAATCAAACACGACAAAAGTAGGAAACGGAATTTCAATTTCAACTTCCATGGAAAATAAAGGGCTATCAAACAGGCCCTTAGATTTTTGGTTTTCTAGTCAAGTAGACATTCATTACGTATACGAGAAAATAAACCATGGTTTTGTCCTTTGAGAATGAGTCAAGTAGGTGTGCAACAAGAAATCAAGGATTGAATGACGCGTTAAATTAACAGTGGTTGGAATCAGGGACGGATTTAGGAGGGACTGGACCGCGCTGCACACCAAGAAATCAAGGATTGAATGACGCGTTAAATTAACCGTGGTTGGAACCAAGGACGGATTTAGAGGGGGGGTGGGGGCATTTAATTTTTCTTTTTTTTTTTAAGTAGAAAAAAAAATTTTATGTTAAAAAAAAATATTCTTGTGTAATTTTTTTTAAGTATTAGCCTGATCTGTAATTCAGTCCTGAGTCCGTCTCTGGTTGGAACATCATTTTTCGGGATAATAGATTTTGTAAAAGTTTTTTTTTTTTTTTAATAGAATGTCTCGTTAAAAAGTAGGAAAAAATTTGAATTTACGTACAAAATTATTTTATTAGGAGAATGTGATTGAAAATAAATTTGAGAAAAAATGATTATTTTTTTAGGCTCAAACAGTGACCTTAATATCAATATCATAGAAATACGCAAAATGGTGCGAAAATATTGTCAATTCAATTGAATAATGTACCAAATAGGAGACAAATTGCATAAATTTAATTCGTCACCTTTTTCTTTGCGTAATGTCATAAATCCTTAAATTAGCCAAATTTGTCAAGCTTCGGCCAATTTTTCTACCTTTTTAGGCAATACCCACGGGACATTTGGTTTAAAGTCAACGTGCAATTAACCATTTCGGATATAACTTACAATTCTAGTGATAATGTGCCGACTAGCAAACCAATTTCATAAATTTAATTTGTCACCTAACCAGTAGAAAATGATAAACTCCAAGAGAATACTTCGTTATGAAGAATAAGAATTTGTTTAGCATATATTATTTGTACAATATATATATTTATATATATTAAAAAGTAGCCCGATATGATTTCAAAGTGAAGATAAAATAATGAAATCTCTATTTGGATTGGTTAAAAATCATTTCATCGACAAATTAGCAAGACAGCACACCGACAAATGCAAAAAGACAATTTTGATTTAATTTTCTATTCAATAGATTTTGCTCACCGCCCTACTCACAATTGTTGTGAAGACCGAAGAGCTTTCGTAGATCTGTCTTCTATATGTTACCGTTAAATATATTAGCTTTCATAAAAGATTCTATTACCCAACTTCTTTTTCATTTCTACTATTGCCTTTCAAACGTCGTAATAAAATTGAAGGGGCAAATGAAAGGGTCCGCCAAACAATAAAGATGCTAGACTGCCTAACAACAACTGGGTCTTGTACTCATCGATCCATTTCTAAAGAATTCTTATTTAAATTGAGTGATCATGACATCTTTGATCCCAAAAAATATTCTATGTATTCCATTGTGTGTTGTTTATTGATAGTATTATTATAGGTAGAGCATTACCTTTGAGATATCATTATCTACTTAAATTTTGCTTGCTATGGTACTTTTAACTTATTAAAATCAAGAGTGACGTATCGTGAACTCCACTGGTTTATATAATGACACGGCTACTCCCTTTGTTAAACAATATCGAAAGTATTTAGTAATTGATATTACAACACGCTTGGAGTTTATTTGACATAGACATACATTCTAAAAGTAATTCTTATATTTCAAAAGTTCATTTGACGTCTCAAAAGTCGTGTGAAACGAATCTTTAGTTTGAGCCTATAAGATAATATTCGCGGTTTGCATATGAAATTTAATATGGTCAAATTGGCACTTATGTTGAATCAATACTATTGTCAATATAATAAAATCCCTAGTAGAAGGCATTGTATGTCTTTTACAATGTTTGAAGGGTCAATTAAATAGGAAAATACCGTCCCTAACAAGCCTCAAGTAATTGAGTTTAAAATCATAATCTTAATTCTTAGTTAGGGGTGGGCAAAACCCGATCGAACCCGTCCAAACCGCCCAAATCGAACGACCGACCAGGTTGGGTTGGTTTTTTATTGTTTTTACACGGATTGAGTAGGTTGGCTTTGTAGGCGCGTTGTATTGGGTCGGGTTATGGGTTAACTCATGAATATCAAATAAACCCAATAAACCCTACCCGCCATTTAAAAAAAATAAAAGAAATATAAAAATAAAAGAAATATAATACCTAGAAAAGTAAAAGAAATCTAAAAAGTATAAGTAGATAGTGTAACCGTAATTATCTTGGTATATTTTAGAGATGGGGCTTATTGTATTTCTCATAAGAAATGTAGTATAAGTTTTCTATGTTATGTTAAATGCACTTTGTTCTTTGTAAACTCGGCTAATGAGAATTAAATAAGATAATTGATGATTTTATTTATTTATTTATTTACTTACAATTTAATCTTGTCTATTCAAATTTAGTATAATAGAAAATTGATAACTTTAATTTTTGTTGATAGTCGTCACAAACCGAACAATCCAACCCGACCGATACTTGATTGGGTTGGGTTGAGTTTTAACCTTTACACGGGTTGGGTTGGATTAAATTTTGATCAAACCGATCATGTTAGGTTGTGCTTGAATTGAGGCAAAAATCGACTCAACTCAATCCATGCCCACCCCTACTATTAGTTCAATGACAAGGTAATAGTTGACTCTTCGATATGTTTGATCGGATAAATTAAAAATAATTAGAATTGACAATCGATAAATTTCGACAAATATTTCTCTTCATTTGTCCTACTTCGAGTTATGTTTTCTTATTATCAAGCCGTGTTCGATGGAGTGTATGCACTCCAAATTTAAAGGCACGCGAATTTGATGAGATTTTAGTATTTAATTAATTTATTATTGAATTGGCGTCTATAATATCTTTTGTTAGAAGTCTAGGGTCTTCGATGCAATTTCTTGTTTTATAAAGTGGGTTTTTGTGAGGCTATAAAGAAACGGCTTTATTTTTGGCTTTTGTTTTTTACGACAATTTAATTGAATTTGGAGTTTCTACACATAAATTTAAAATGTCACCAATCAGGGGC